CAGGGGCGAGGAGTGCCCTCAGTCCCAGACAGGAGCCAGCACCCCTTTGGAAAGTGGACAGCGTTGCCCACGGGTGCTGTTTTGTGGCTGCTTAAAGCAATCTATGGGTTGGTTGAACTTAACCCATCCAGTAGTCACCACTACAGCTAACATGGGGGGGGGGGAGTGCCTCTACGTGACTTCAGAACCACACTTCTATCTAGCAAGTTGTCTAATACTGACACAATGTGCAAGTTTCTGTTCAAAACAAATAACAAAACATGTTTAATTATATATACTTAACATTTTTTTAAATGTTTTTATTTATTTTTGAGACAGAGAGAGACAGAGCATGAGCAGGGGAGGGGCAGGGAAAGAGGAAGACACAGAATCCGAAGCGGGCTCCAGGCTCTGAGCTGTAAGCACAGAGCCCGATGCGGGGCTCGATATACATATTGTACATAACAGAAGTTTAAGTGATGCGAATTGATCCACAAACTCAGGAAGAGAATTTAGTATATCTTAACAGAAAACTGAGTGAGTCTTCATGGGGGTGGGGGAGTCTTCCCTCCTCCTTAAATTTCCAAAAGACCTGGAGAAACAGTTCCCAACGGAGACTTAGAGCAGGCAGTTCGTTAAAAACGCTCAGGAGGTCCTGACCTGGAATTTCATCAATCAACCCCTGCCATTGCTTCTCCTCGCCACACGGGGGCACTGTTAACACACGGTTCTGCCCCGCCGAGTGAACTCAGAGGAACGGTTGGTTAGTTCCCTCCCCGCTGCTGACCGCATCCTGCCCAGGCTGCAGACCTTTGAGTGAGGACCATCCCACTATCCAAGTTGTCTAAGCTCAGGCAAGGGTCTTAATCAGGTTTCCTGGAGTACAGCTCCTGATGCTTGACTCAGCCTGATTACATCCCAATTCTTGCCTTCCCAACAGAGCTTCCCAACAGAGATTCGAGAATATCCTCAAGGGGGAGTTACCTTCCCAAGGTGACCTGCGGAACTTCTGTCACCAGAGCAGAAGTTCAGTCACAGCAG